ACCTGACACTTGAGTTAATTATGATTGGACTGTAGCTGTGATGCCAAGGGGTGGGGAATGGGCTATTCTATATATCAATCACTTTCGCGCCTAAATACCGGTAATCAGATTTCGCTTCGCTATGCCTTTAATCATTTATAATTAGTAAAAGTACACTTGATTTCTACACATGGAGTCTCGTGGTCTTCTTTCCTAATTATCTAATGGAGAGGTGCTGACAGTTCCAGCATAACTCCAGAATGTTTAGGCCACTGAAATGAAAAGGATTGAATTATATCTATAGTGTCAAATCACACTACCTTTGACAGTGATAGTGTGCGTTTCGGATTCAAGTTCTTTTAAGATACAGCCTGTTGTGCCTTAAAATGGCTTCTCCTGTACAGGTTATCAGCTAGTACTAAATAAGTATTTCTCATGAAAAGCAGACAATATTTCTAAATAAGTACTAAGTAAGTATTTCTCATGAAAAACAGACAATATTTCAAATAGAAATCTGAGTGGCAAGGTAACTGTGAGGCTGAATGAAGAACCTCACTTCTCTGCTTCCTTGTTTCCTCAGACTGTGCCAGGGCTTTGGAAGTTGCCAGCTTCAACGCTTCCTCCTGCTGGCATGAACAGAATATTCTGGGGGACCATCATGCTTGGGCTGCTGAGCAAGCAGCATTGACTACTGATAGTTCTTCTTGGGCAGCAGATCACAGCTCTGCAAATGAGTGGCTAGAAATAGATTTGGGTGGAAAGAGGAACATCACAGGTCAGTAAGTATCACCAGCCTTTTCCTTTGTCTAAAACACGCACGTCCAACCTTGGCAGGTTTACGATTTGTGGACTTCGACATGGCTGGCTTGGGAATTCTGGGAGTTGAAGTCCACAACTCTTAACGTGGCCAAGATTGGACGCTCTTGATTTAAATCAAATCATATTCTGGGTCTGGGACACAGATCTGACTGCCTCCTCCATTTTTTGTCCATTTTTGGCCTCCACCCTTTCATTCTCTCGGCCTTGCTTTTTCCAGCCCTCCTCCCTTTCCGCCTACTCCATCCTGTTCCGTATGAAAGATGGGTGGACTGAACGAGCCTCCTATCGCCTGGCAAATCCACCCTTTGTTTCGAGATGCCTGAGGCCGCTTGAGGCTTTGCGTGGCCACCCTATAATGGAGCTTGTTTGGCAAAGAAAATGGAGGCATTGTAAGACCGAGGGACTGGAGGCCAAGTGGAATGCAAGATGGGAGAAGGAAGGTTAACGAATATCTCTCTCAATTGATGTTGCGTGGAGCAAGGAGGCAGCATCGGACATTCCAGCTGACCAACCTGAAAATGTTCTCCTGAACATCTCTTCTATTTTTTTCCCATCTGACCACAGTCCTTCAGTTAAATAGGAAAGAAACTGCTTTGGGTTTTTTTTCCCTAAAGGAGAAAAAATGTTAGAGAAATTCTTATGGCTGAGCGGTTGGCTTTGGTACTAATTGCTATTACAACAAGGTGATGGAGTACTCAGTCTTTCACAGCAGTCTTATCTCTCCCGATGTCTGCAAACTCCCTGGCTTCTTTATTGCTACTAAGGAAACACATAAGGAGGAGCAGCCAGGGAGTCTGTTGTAATATGTTCACTTCCTCCTGTCCAGTCATAGCTGGACAGTTGAATATTGTTCCATCATAAACATTGTGTCTATAGTTTAGCTCAGGGGTCGGCAACCTTAAACACTCAAAGAGCCACAAAGGTCCTAACCGGAAGCCCCCCGTTCCATTCTGGAGCCGACTGGAAGTCTGGTTTCCCCACCATAGAGTCTCCTCCTAGTGCAGCGTCCTTTTATCGACTGGAAGTTTGGTTTCCCCACCATAGAGTCTCCTCCTAGTGCAGCGNCTTAGAGAGGGCTGAAAGCCCTATGAAGCGGTATATAAGTCTAACTGCTAACTGCTAATTTTCACTGGCAAAGGGCTGCAGGAGGCTGCCACAGCCTAAAACAGCTCGGAGGGGCTGGACCTGGTTCTCCCCAAGCTCATTTTCACTGACAGAGGCTCCATTTTTGCTGTCTGGTCCTTCACTGTTTCCAGGTCAGCCCCACGGCCCAGATCTAAGCACCCTGTGGGCTGGATCCGGCCCACGGGCCTTGAGTTTGACATGCCTGCTTTAGACGACCAGTTGATAATTTGCAGTTTGGTCTCAGATAAATTAAAACAATTCTTATTTTGCTACCTTCTGTCATTTTTCACAGAATCCTATAGTATCCTCAGTACTATTGCTAAATTCTGGAAAAACCAACATTGCCAATATTAATGCACAATATATTTATCATTTTTTGTAAAGTAAGAAAGATGTAAGATATTAATTGGAAAATTGTAGAAAGACACGATCCTCTGAGATTGTTCATTACAGTGCTTGCCTTACAAAATGTATTGTAGTCATTTTTCACAAGTTAAAATAAATGAATAAAAATAAAATCCTAGTGGACAGCAGGATCAATTCTCATGCTGTGCCAACATCTGCCTTGCCTCTTCTCTAATGTCCCAAAGGTGCTTTTTTTCAGGAGGCAACTGGACTGTCTTGTTTTTTCTTTTGAAGACATTTTGTTTCTCATCCAAGAAGCTTCGTCAGCTCTGGCAGGATAGTGAGGAATGGAAGGATTTATATTCCTTGCAGACAGCTGGTCATTTGCATCCTTTTAGGGGGTCCTTGAAGCAATGATGCAAAATGACCAGCTGTCTGCAAGGAATATAAATCCTTCCATTCCTCACTATCCTGTCAGAGCTGAAGAAGCTTCTTGGATGAGAAGCGAAACATCTTCAAAAGAAAAACCAAAAAAATGCAGTTGCCTCCTGAAAAAGCATCTTTGGGACAACCATGACCTGGATGACTGAGAATCTCTACAGACTCTTCTCTGATGGTTTCTACTTGTGGGGTGGGGTGGGGTGCACAAGTCTTAAAGTTGCCAAGGTTAGACACCACTAATATAGAGTCTCCTGCTCAGCAGAGGACTAAACTGGAAGACCTCCAAGGTCCCTTCCAACTCTGATATTCTGTATTCATTTATGTGTGTTTCATTTTGAACAGGGGATCCTTATCAGAAAAACGCCTTATCTTTCACAAAGGTAAGTCCTTCAAACTGCATCCATTTCTTTGCATGCCTTCCTTGGGGAGGAAAACATCTGCTTCCTCCAATTTCCAACGATCAAAATTGCAAAATAATCATTTACACTAAACTGATGCTATTAAAGCAGCAAAGTGCTGTTGAGATCAGCAATTTGGGTTTCCTCTGGAAAAAAAAAAGCAACCAGGGAGAATTTCTATAATAGGAGTGCTCTTTTAAAACGGCCCTCTTGATGGATGGCAATGGAGCAGAAAGCTATTGAATTTTGGATAAAAAATATATATCAGCTACTGTATATTTAAAGGATGTTAACTCCAATCTATTTAGGGTTCCCTTCCCAATCTAGACTTCAACCAAACTTGGTACACATATGACTTACTCTCTGGAAACAAATACTGTGGGTTTAAGACACCCCTAACACCCCTTAAGGGGGGGTGCCCATCCATGTGTGTGTGTTCCTGTCAGCCTCTGCTTTGCTGTTGCTTCGGCTGCCATGAAACGGGGAGGGTGGGCATGGTATTTGGGAGGGGTTACTCATTGTGCTGGAGGCAGGTTCTGAAGTTCAGCTGCTTATCGGACTACGCATGCGTGGGAGATTCC